TCCAGATCCTGAGCTGGTGGTACAGCTGACAGCAACTCATCCTCGCTTTCCTGCGCTTCAGGGACTTCCCTGGCACCCACCCCGCTCTCTTCCTCAAACATCTAACCTCTTTTTTTTTTTTTTTTTTTGCATTGCTTAACCACACAACACGTTATTAATAATTTACAGCAGGGCTGACTTTAGATAAGGCAGGTCCCAAGCAAGGTGCAGAAATGGGACCCGATGTAATTCTTGTACAAAGAAAATCCTTCCCTCTCCACGGACCCATCCAGCTCGCCCCGCCGTCTAATACAGGAGCTAATTACCATGACCATACAAAGCCGGTGCAGGCCCTCAACCCTCAGCACACGATAGATTGATACCCTCAGGTGCCAAGATAGTATCAAAAAAATGAGAATTATAAATACTAATACAGAAAATGTTGCCTGCACTTCATAACCCAGGGCTGCTCCAAGGCCCAAACCATTCCATACCAATGCATTAGAACAAAACAAACAAAAAAATGCTTTAGATTCAGCTCAAAAAGTAGCATTTAGGCTAAAATAGCCAAACATATTCTAAACACATCACATGTGGATATTTTTTTTCGGAAACCAGCAGTATCAAATCCTGCTTGAAGTCATTTTTGTGCTGTAACTGAATATAGACAAGGAGGAACACATCTGGTGCCTGGGCTGTGCAAACGTATTTATAATTAAGTAGAATTGAATACCAAAATCCAGCAATGATAGAATTCATTAGACTAGTATAATGCTGTATAATTAGTCTCTTTTTTTTTCTATCATCCGCTGTATGCTTTAAGAGCTCTTTTTACCCATTGATATCAATGTGCTATGACATATTTACACACACCCTGTACAAAAGGCTGAGGAAGTATTAGACATGTCAGAGGATGACATGGAAAGGCGACTGTGGTACAATAACTACACTGTCAGTGAAACGAGAGGAAACTAATTTAAATTCATTCCCTGGCACATAACACTACAGATAGGTACTGGATTTACATTTTGTAAGGAAAGGTGCTCCTTTCTATAGTAGGGAAAAGTCCTAACACAGCAAAATCAATACATTACCTTTTTCAACCAGGACTACGTCCTCAGCTTGCCTGCCTTGCATTAGAGGCCCTCAACCAAACACAGCATCCACTGACCTCTGCACAGGCCTTTCTAAGCATCATCCGTAGGTCATTCCTCATTGAAACCATCTCCACATACTATTGCTCACACCTTCGACTTGGAAAGAACTGCCAGCAGGCAAGTGCTCTCTCTGAGCCTCTGCGTGACTTCCTTTGCTCTACTTCTTTCCTACCAGTCCTGGCCAGGTGTACCACAACTCCTACCAGAGAGCCCAGCCTCCCTCCTGGGCTCTAGCACAGCGCAGTGTGTGTAGGTCCTATCAGAGCATCCAAGTTCCCAGGGCCACCAGGCAAAACCAGGGGCTCCACTGCCAAGTTCAGCACTGACAGGAACTTGGGCTGACACCAACAACAGAGGGTTGCCACAGTTCTTTAAAAAAGTTTGTCGGGTACCAAAATCATTTGCCATCACTGTCCTAATTTTTTCCACATAAAGCCACCCAATGCCTCACTAAGGCGCCCTCCATCTCCCTCTCAATGTACTTGCTTCTCTTCATCATCCGTGTAGAGGAGTGAGGGAGCTTGGGCTAACTGAAGAGGTAAGTTGGTTCGTACAGTTGACAGTGCCATTATCCTGTCATAGATGGGCTTGTGATTAAGCCCACACAGGCTGGTGACAATTCCAGCCTTCGGATCAGGCTCAGCAGACAATTACTGAGCCAACATGGGGCTTGCAGACCGGCCCAAGGGACGAAGCAGCCATCTATGGCTGTGCCGCCTTCCCCCTTCAAACAGCAGCCAGTTACCTACCTGATAATAGCTTTCTCTCCAAAGCTGTAGCTGCAGCCGAACAAGAGACAAGGAAATGCAGACAGATAAAAGCAGTCTGCAGGGACAGCAAAAAGATAGCTGAAACCAAGTATAATTTGCACTTATTTCACATCAGTCCACAAGTTTCCAACAAAAAGAAAAAAACCAAAGGCCCTGACCGGCCACTTCATTTCCAGCGCTCTACTGTTCATCAGATTTATTTGAGCTGTGTGCCTGCAGGCTCGGGAGGAACTGCTCCACATTAAATATATATTGAGTTCATAACCAAAATAGTCTCTCTTGAAGTGGTATTTTTATTGTAAACAAAAGCTGCAAAAGTTCACACCTAAGGTTCCTTCAGACAACAGAGAGAAACTGCACTTAGCAGCTGCACACAGCCAAAAGGAGCATTAAAATCATTAAGCCAAAATTGAAAGGATATGGGGTTGCCTTTTAAAGGGAGAAGGCTTATGCACAAATGAAAGAATAACATGTTCTTTCTATAAACTATGGTATGCAGAAAATTTATCTTTCAGTAGCTACTATTACACAAGAAATACCATATTTTTAACAAGCTTAGGATTCAGAAGACATGAAAGATATGATGAAAAGAGTATTTTTAAACTCTGCTGGACCAGAACACAAGTTAAGCTGCAATTTGAAGAAAATAAAGCGCTTGTTTAGTAAGTAAGTGTGCATGAACTGGCTCTGTTTTTAATTTTAATAACTTTCTAATTAGCTATGTTGACAAAGATGTATTTGAAACAGAACTAATGTAAATTTTCCATCGTATTTCTTTTCTTTCATAGAAAGGATAAAGGAACAACAAAAACACCCCAATAAGCCAAGCAGAATGTTTTTAAAATTCACAAAATGTAAAACTTCAACAAAGAAGCTGTCAGTGATCACTGGGGAAGGATTTTTCAGATTTGCTTTCACGTATAATTACAGGAGAGAACACCGATCATTGACCTACCTATTCTTGATGAAGAGCAATCAAAACACCAGCATCACAGGAACACACAGCAGTATTTTACTGCTCACTGCTTTTTTCCAAACGTTCAAAAACTTCAAACCTGTCATGAGCCTATTGTGTAAGGCGTCAAATTCCCAGAAAGATTCCTGTATTTCTTTAGCTCACTCTTAACAGACACTAGGAGAAAGTATACCTACAAAAGCCATCAACAAAACAGCGCTGCTATTCCAAGAGGGAGGAAAAAAATGGTTTTGGGGAAGTGAAGCATCCCCCTGCATGGAGCCAGACGACCTTTGGCTCCCAGCAGTGGCCAGGGGCCACTCGGCCACAACCCCTCTCCCCCCCCCGATGCCAAAGACGCCTGCACAGCAGCGTGAAGCCACACATCTGCAGTCGAGTCCAGGTCTTCTGGAAAAGCCCTGCCCGCTCTGGGCTGCAGCCTGCGCAGCGCTGGGCAAGGCGGCCGCCCGGAGCCTTCTGCTGCTGGCAGAGCAATCAGTGCAGCTCCCTCCCAAATATCCTCTTCTGCAAGCAACACTTGCACGCAAAGCAAGGAGGAGGCTGAAACATCAGAGGACGTGTGTCCTGGCAACCTTGCAGGAAGACAATGCCTTTCCCCAGAGGTCTGCAGCCCTTCCTGACTCACACCTCCAGCCACCTCCCTCGGATGCTCTGGGAATGCCTACTTTTTTCCAAAGAGGAAAGCAAGGCAGGACAAACCAACTTCACAGGCTAAATACAACCCCGGGATTGAGACACCCGCATCCCTCTTAGATCTCCTTTATGCCACGTGCTTTTGAAAAACATTATCACATCTTTGAAATAACAAAATTAAACTCAGTAGAATTTGCAATGAACAAATAATGCGGCTAATTGAATATCTGCATCTAAGCTTGAAAGCCTGAAATATTCTAGCATGACATCCCACAACTGGCAATGAAAATAAAAATAATCAAAAAAGTAAGACCATGCAAATTATCTAGACTTGATATCACAAAGATACAGGGACTTTCATGGTGAAACCTGTATCTACAGAAAAATACTACATGTTCTGATTTGCTTTTTATTACATGCAAGTGTGGCCTGGTTTGGTAGTTTCAAATACTTATTAAAAAAAAAAAAAAAATTGCAGGAAGGTGGCCAGTTAATCCCTGAACCTTCCAAGAAAATGAGAATACAGAAGTCACCCACAAAGGTTAAGGGCTCCAAAACGAATATCACCAGCATACACCAGTAATTTAAATCATTTGAATTCAAGATTTTAAAGGAAGTACTTGCATACTTAAAGTTCAGTATTTGCATAAGTCTTTGCAAGATCTGAATAACAAGTCAGAGAATTTGTTTCAAGTTTATCTTAAAGACCTAGAAGGCATCCCAGATACGGCACTACCATTTAAAGGTTATAACAAACTCATTGAATCAGCATGAAATTTTCAGAAGACATATTTATATATTTTAAAGCTTTTTTTTCCATCCTTTGGAGGGTTTTTCAATTATTATATCGGGAGTATTCCAATGTAGAGAGGCTTGTGAAAAGAAAAAGATGAACACAGAAGAATCGATCAGGCTCAGCGTTGGATACTGCACATCATTTATTGATGTTTCAAAAGTGCTGCTATTAAAATGGAATTATATTTTTGCTTTCTCTTCATTACAAAATTCAAAAAAATGTGAAGGGTACTCCACTCTTTCTCTACTCATTTATTTCCCTAGAAATGCAAGGAAACTCCCAGTCCTTCACATCTTGAAGGCCACAGAAAGCCTACACTGACAGCTCAAACATTTTAAGCTGAAGAGGATAGCACCAGTCGTCTTGAACATAACTAGCATTTCTGCCATGTTAATTGGTGACTAGAATCAAATATTCACTTTACAAAGAAGTTGGTGACTGGAATCAAATGTTCATGACACAAATGAACTTAAAAATATAAAAGCAAAATTCTTTAAATATTTCCATTCCTAAGTATGCACATCTCTTTGGTATTTATAAAATAGATGCGGGGAGTCTCAGCATGCAAACACTTAGTCACAAGAAAATTTTATGAAATGTCCCACAAAAATTAACGTGAATACTTTTGCACAGAACGGGTCTTGGAAATCCACCCAATGAGGTAAAATTAATAATAATGACAGTCTTACCTGGTCCCAGGGACAGATGATTCCTCCAAAACACATAAAGAGATATCCCATGGCAACAAGACATACCCAGACCACCAGAGAAAATATACGAAGCAGCTTCTTAAATACAGGTTCTACGCAGACGAGGATAAATATAGCGAAAAAAATTGCTAGGGCCGTTGGAACAGTTATTAAAAATGCCACATGGTCTTCAATTTCCTGGAAACAGAGGAAAATGAAAAGGAAGTTAAAAACTAATGTACTCAAAGGTCAGACAGCAATAACATACTCTAATTGCACACAGAGATCTCAGAAAGACATGGCTGAATATCAAAAGGAAGATGAATCAAAATAGAATTTCTTTCACTGTAAGAAGCTGTTATTTGGAGTATTAACTTCACAAACAACTATTAACCAGACTACTGCATGACACTTCTTTTACTAAATTGAGGAATTGAAGCAGATTCAGAAAACTGTAAATCATACTACAGTAATGCTCCAGGCCCATAGGACTGAGTGAATTAAAAGGCAAACCCAGTCTGCAGAAGTAACATAGCCTTTCTGCTCCAGAATTCAAAAGATTTCTCTGATTAGTGTGGTTTGCAGGTGAAATTCAAGCATCCCCATTGAAGACTGCAGGTGTCAGAATGCTTCCCAAATCAACTATGTGTCCATAACTCCATAAAAGCCTTTTTGACAGTGATATTTGCCAGGTACTATAGATTTTGCTTCTGTTTAAAGTACTTATCTGGAAGGATGGGCTCTAGATTACATATACACATTTTCTCCTAGGAGCTGCTTACTTCAAAATGTGCAAACAACACCCAGAGCAAGGGTGAGACTGAAGTGAGATTCAGAATAAACAATGTTTACATTTATTTACAGAACTTACATAGAAGTTACTACACTAATATCTTTAAACCATCTAGTGATGGATACATTCAAAAAGAATAAATATCTGATTTTATAGTCCTGTACGTATTCAAAAGTATCTCTGGTTGAAGTACATCAATAGCGCTGCATCAAAGCCTGGTCATAGGATCCTTAATCATTCCGGCAACTGTTATGAATTTTCACAGCCTCATTTGTAGCATAAGGGATTACAAAAGCAGGCCCCAACTGCGACTGCTGCAACAATATAAAAACCTCCACAAACCACACATTTCATGCCAAAAAGCCCCGTATCCACTTATTCATGTTGGTGAAATCTTGGGAACAATTTGAAAGTACCTATCTGATGATTTGTAAGACATCTAAGCACAAAGAAATAACATTTATTTTTCCCTAGTTTTGTCTTTGTTTCCTTAGTGCCCTGACAAATCTTGATTATTGGTGGCTTTTCAACTTAAATACTTAACATTTTACTTCAAATCTTTTTGATGTGACTTTTTTCCCCTTTCTTATGTGTATAAGACTTGCTACAGTTAGAGGAAAATAAAAAATTTACAAGTAAATTTGTAAAATAGAAAAATGTATAAATACAGTTGTAAATTTAGAAAAATTTACAAATGCCATCAGCATTTTTTTTTGGGGGGGGGAGGGGGACGCCGACACATTCCAGATATAATAAGTTTTACAACCCACCATCTATAGAGACCCTTGCTGTAAGGTTCTTTCCTCTTCTTCTCCTCAAACTTGTTTTGTTTTGCTTGCGGTCACGCTGCACACAGCGACACCCACCCACTGCATTGGGCACCTCAGCCCCGCTCCCCACTGCTGCCGGCCCACAGCCCAGCACCACCATGCTGGCACCTGCTCCAGCACCAGGCAGCCCCGTGCCGGCAGCGACTCGTACGCACAAACCCGCTGCCCAGCCTCATCCAAAACCCTCCGCATTTCGTCGGGAGAGCCGAGGCGCAGATCACCTCTCTGCATGAGCTGAGGGTCTCCTCCGTGCTGACTCGGGCAGGTTCAAACCAAGGGGAAACACCACGATGAAAGTCCACATGTGTGGATGTCATTTACCTAGACTTCAGTAAAGCCTTCGATACTGTTCCCCACGGCATTCTCATGAAAAAGCTCCTGTTTAATGTCTTTATTAATGATCTCAAGGAAGAGATTGAGAGCCCCCTCAGTAAGTTTGCAGATGGTGGGAGTGTTGATCTGCTTGAGGGTAGGAGGGCTCTTCAGAGGGACGTAGATAGGCTGGATGGATGGGCCAAGGCCAATGGTATGAGGTTCAACAAGACCAAGTGCCGAGTCCTGCAGTTGGCCACAATAACCCCATGGAGCACTACAGGCTTGGGGAGGAGTGGCTGGAAAGCTGCTTGTCAGAAAAGGACCTGGGGGTGTTGATTGACAGCAGGCTGAACATGAGCCAGCAGTGTGCCCAGGTGGTGAAGAAGGCCGATAGCATCCTGGCCTGTATCAGGAATAGTGTGGCCAGCAGGACCAGAGAAGTGATTATCCCACTGTACTTGGCACCGGTGACGCTGCACCTCGAGTACTGTGTTCAGTTTTGGGCACTGCAGTATAAGAAGGACATTGAGGTGCTGGAGAGGGTGCAGAGAAGGGCAACGAAGCTGGTGAAGGGTCTTGAGAACAAGTCTTATGACGAGCGGCTGAGGGAACTGGGGTTGTTTAGTCTGAAGAAAAAGAGGCTGAGGGGAGACCTTATTGCACTCTGCAATTACCTGAAAGGAGGTTGTGGAGAGGTGGGGGTCAGTCTCTTCTCACAAGTTACAACCGACAGGACAAGAGGAAATGGCATCAAGTTGCGCCAGGGGAGGTTTAGGTTAGACATCAGGAAAAACTTCTACACTGAAAGGGTTATCAAAGACTGGAACAGGCTGCCCAGGGCAGAGGTTGAATCACCATCCTTGGATGTATTTAAAAGCCGTCTAGGTATGGTGCTCAGGAACATGATTAAGAAGTGGGCCTGGCAGAGTTAGATAACGGTTGGACTTAATGATCTTAAAGGTCTTTTCCAGCCATAACGACTCTACGATTCTGTGATCTTACGGTGCAGCATGCAGATTATCTTTCACGTACCCTACCCTGCCTGACAAAAGGCAGAGCTCATCTTTCAACTCTTCTTATTCTTTCTTCCCTTTTACATTTACAAAGTCACACATTTAAGCAATTATTATTGCAGCACTGATGATAGGGGTATAAGCAAATGAAGAGTCGAGAAACTGTAAGTGATGGTGCTAACTTCGAAACGCAAACACTGATCTTCCAAATATTAAATACACACATTAAGGCTTTCAAGCACTTGAGTAGTTGTACTGAAAACAAATTTATGGGCCTAACGTTAGGCATAGAGGTAAGTGTCCGCATAAGTACAAAGCTGTATGAAGTAAGATAAAGTGCAATCTTGCATAGTATGAGACAAATATAAAACCAAACTACTACTCGTAAGAACTACCGATTTATGTCTCCGAATGTTGTGATTTTTGATCATTTCCATCTTTGAAATTTGTTTCAGTGAATTGATTTTCACAGTGGATCGATTTTCAGTTAATTGATTTTCAGTGAATTGATTTTCACAACCAATGTCAGCCAGGGCAACATCAAAAGAATTTAACTTCAACCTTTGACTTCTGCACTTCCAGGTGGGATTGCAAAACTCTTGTTACAATGTCAGAGGAATGTCCCTTCACTGGTGACAGGACAATGTTACGTTCCTTGCATCACCTGTCATACAGTCAAGGTTGCAGCACTGAAGGAACCCGCAAGCTCCTGGAGGAAGCCGAGACTCAGGAAAACCACAGGTTTAAATGATGGCAAATTAGCATTTCAGTGATAACGATCATGCTACAAATATACTCGCGAGAATATCCACATGCACTTCAACAGCACGCTTCTGCATTTCAGTAAAAGAAAAAGTAAGTATTGTGCTTTCTAGGACATTCTTGCTTCATAACAAATCAACAATATTAGATTTGTTTAGAGCATATGCATGGTCACATAGCTACTTATTTCTATATGTATTCTATCATTAGATCAATCCATCAAAATGTTTGTTCCAGACTAACAGCTGATCAGTCAATTTCCTTTTATTAAGCCTACACTGATTATAACATTTAGCTGAGCCATTTTGATCACTGAAGTCTAAAATTTTATTTCTGTTTTCTCCCCTTCTCTGATTGGCTATTGGACAATTTTGCATTTTGTTTTGGTATAAACTTATGCAGGAAAAAAAAATAGGGCACAATGTATCAGCTCCTCATCACCAGTAAGCGAACACAGCCTCGCTGGCTGCAGTGGGACATCACCCCTCTGTGTGAATTCTGAAGCAAAATAGAAATTTAAAGGCAGAATAGTATACATGTTAGGCAATTAAAAAAATACAGGAGAAAACAATTGCTATTACAATTTTAATCCTTTCCAGAAATCTATAATGTGTACAGGGAGGGGGTACACAATCCTGCCTGTAAAACACAGGTTAATGTCAGGTCACCAAAAGCAGGCCATATGAGGCAGAGGTTTATTTTGGAAACTACTTTTAACAATATTTTCCTATTACTTCAGAGGAACTAAATCTTTCTGAAATTGTAACTTTGAGAGCAGGGCATTTAAAACTTGTAGCTTCCTGATCAATATTTGCAATCATTAGCGTGTTTCACAGGTTAAAAAGTGACGTTGGATACAAAGACAAATCCTGAAGGCTAACTATTCTGTTTCCCTAACCATTTCCCAAGGAGGTCAAGGAAAAAAAATCAACAACAAAATCCACTTTCTCTCAGAAATTAAAATAAAACAGAGGTAATGGAATTAAAATATCAGCATGACACTTCCAAACATAATGGCTAAGCCTGCAATACATGGATCTTGCCTGACAGCTCTGTCTTCCTGATTGTTTTCTATCTTGCTGTCTTTTAATTACTGAAGAAATTTAAAAGTCTACTGTTAGAAAATTTTCCAACCCCCATAAATTCTTCAGAAGTGTGTGAAAATCTTATCACCATTAAAACCTGAAGAATCACTTTCAGTCATCTTTCTAAAGCCCATCAACCTTCTCTCATTTCACATCCTGTTCTTTCCTTTTCCAGATAATGCCATGCCCTCAGTTTAATTTTAAACAGCAAAGCTGCTGTAGAGCACTTCACTGTTTTATATAAAACCATACAGCTTGACAAAGTACTCTATAAAAATGAACAAACAAGCATTTAAAATACTAGTTTTAGCATAAAATCTTTTACCATGGTCCCTCATTCTTTTGGTACTTTATTCTTTTCATCTACTGGAATTTGACAGCAGTCTATATACAGAGGACGCCTGCTGGGATCTGAAATACTACACACTTAGAATTAACTCAAACAATTTACTATATTAAATTTCTACTAAAATCACTTTTTGCTGAGATCAGAGAAACACTTTCTAAACGTAAATATAAAAGTAAGTAATGTTCTTCAGACAACAAAACTATGTAAAATTTCATGTATTTGTTTTCAGAAATGATGAGTGATAAAAAAAATACAGGGCTTAAGGATTACTAGCTCACTGACCTCTCCACCAAAACAGGAAAACATCTTCATTTAACCAGACTAACTGGCTGAAATAATCTGTTTAGTTACCTCTATAGCAGAAATTGCTCATTTTTCCTGTAACGCCTTTTCCAGGACTTGAGAGAATTAGAAATACAGCAATTTTCAGAAGACGTGTCATCACCATTGCCTTTGTAGAAATGGACAGCATTTCACTCCTCTAACACCTCAAGAAATAGTTCTTTACAAAGCCAAAAAGCTGCAAAGTCTTCTGTCTGCGTGTGACTCTTATTCCACAGTTCTATATTTTAGTGAATTTGCTTACGGCTGACTCCACTGTGTACCATCTGTTAGACAGCTGGAAAAATCTCCATTTTATTAGGAGGTGCCATGCCCTGCTCCTGGCCAAGCAGCTGTACAGCTTCATCTAGGACTTCATCATTCAGGACAGCAACTGAAAAGTTTTGGCCCACCATCTCAGATTTCTTTTCCATCAATTCCATCATTATCAGTCCATCTTCACTTCAGAAATGGTGCAGTGTCTTATGGCTAGATGCTGTTTCCAAGCCCACATGGCATTTTCTGGATCCATAACTTAGAAAAACTCCTCTGCCTTTCATGCCCACCATTTATCTTTCATAACACAAACCTCTGCTTGTTTTTCTTGCTTAGCTGCCTGGTTAGAAGCTTTCTCATGTGCCTTTTTTTTTAAGCTTTTATTGAGCTTTGTGCAACATGTTCAAGGACACTAGAAGAAAATTAATTGAA